CAAGTATTTGTTGAGTATACACAAGGTGTTCAAGAGATTTTAAGGTCTTTACGGGTAGGGACCAGTCCTATTAACAACTGAATAGCCCCCAACACATATCACAGCATTTGGCTTATTCCAACTGCTTGCTGAATGCATATTCATCCATTAGGTCAGCAGAGGATTCAAGATAACACAAGGTCTTTGCCCTCAGTGAGTTTTTGGGGATAATAAAGTACAATACTCACACATTATCCAAACAATAAGAACTAATAAGTTCTACAGTGGCACACCTGAAATGCCATTGGACTGATGTAATGGAAGTCTTTAAAAAGGAAGAATTTGAACTGTGTGTTAAAGAAAGGATAAGATTTGAGAGTAGGAAGAAAAGAGGGAAGACCTTTCAGCTTCAGGGAGCAAAACCATGGATGGACCCAGGAATATTAGGTGAGGAGAGAAGCCATCATATTGTGGACTTGAAGTGTAGAACATGATAGAGAGAGTAGCTAACACTCTAGATTATGAAGGGCTTTGTCATTCACACAACATAACTACCAAGGAGTACTGAACAGGGAAATCAGCTGATGAAAGTGGATTGGACTAATCCAGAAGCAATTAACCTTGGGTACAAAGACCCCCTAAGAGGCCTATGGATATATTCTAGGGAGTCTGTGAACCTAGATAGGAAAAAAATTATATCTTGACTTCAAATATAACTGATTTTCTTTGCAATCCTATGTATTTTTATTTTATACATTTAAAAACTTCATGAAAGTAGTCTTCAAAAGTTAGACCTTGACCAACTTCTTCTATCATATTCCACAATAATTTCAAGTTGGATTTAAAAAAAAATTCTGAGAAGGGGTTTTCAGAAACCTGCCAAAGGGATCCATGACAAAAGATTGAGTACCCCACCCCTGGACTAACCTAATTTCCAAGGTTCCCTTCAATTTACGAGATTTTGTGGTTTCAGAAGCCATCTATTCTAGCCTGGATGTAAACAATAAAAATCTCCTTTACAACACCCAGAGGTGCTCATGGAGGCTCTAACTTAAAGACTAGTGAAGGAGGTAATTCATGACATGTAAGTTACACCCCTTACGTTGACAACAGAAACTATCATTTCGGTTCATGAAGAAAACAGGAATTAGTGACAAATTCCACAGAAAAAATCATTCACTTTAAAAGATTGGATGCCATAGTGAATACAAAGAAGTCTGTTCCTTAGAAAGGTTTTTCAGAAAGTTTAAAGACCTTTAACATCAAACATCTGTTCCCAAGCAAGGGAAAAGAGTCAGGAGTCGAGTTGATCCAAAAGGATTATTTGACAAAATGAAGAAAACCAGCATTACTTCTGCCAAGGAATAGTATGTATAAAGTGAAAAAATTTATGGTACATAACTAGTTCATGTTTTGTAAATTATCAGTTCTCAAGATTATTATTCTCAAGATACCTTTTATCTTCTTAGTATCTCTTGCATCAATTCCTAATCCTTTCCATTCTCACTGCCTCTAGCCTAGTTTAGGCTTTCTGTTACCTCTCCTGAACAATAGTTCAGTCTCTCTAATATCCAGTCTCTCTCTACTGTAGTCTACTCTTTTTTTTGGGGGGGGGAGAGGAGATACCAGAATAAAATTTCTAAAAATAGGCAGGAAGTGATATGGTAGAAAAAAAATATTAGACGTGGGGGTCTGGAGACTTAGGTTCAAAATTTGCTTAACAGACTAGCTATGTGATTTTGGGCAAGTCACTGATTTCCCCATCTATAAAACAGGGAGGGATTAAATATATTTAAAATACTTACCTTAAGGGGCTGCCATTTAAAATTAAAAAAAAACTTTGTAAACCTTAAAACATTACATTACACTGGTCAAATGAATGACCAGTTTACTCCTATGGCTCAAAAGCATTATGGTTCCCCAATACATGCAAAAAAATCCAAAACAAAACCAACTTAACTCAACACATATTAAACATCTACCTCATGCAAAATCAAGGGGTCACAGTCTGGTCTGGCATTCACAACTTTTCTCCAATAAGACAATTTTCTAAACTATTGTTGTTTTGGGGTCACGACAAATGATTCACACATGATTTTATAGTGTTAGGAACACTTAACACAGAATCTGAGTTGCAAGAGATCTCAGCAGCCATCTAGTAAGCCATTGGAATCCATATATGAAAAGAATCTCCACTAAAACACCAGCTTGTGCTTGAAGACTTCCAAAGAGAGGTTGGGTTACCCATCATCTCTTGAAGCAGCCCATTACATTTTTGGACAGTGCTTAAGTTTTTGTTTTCCTGACATCAAGCCTTAATCTGCCTTCTTTTCACCTTCCACAATCCTGGTTCTCTTCTCTGCGACCAAATAGAACAACACTAATTCCTCTTCCATGTAACAATCCTTCAAAAGCTCAGAAGACAACTTTTGTGGCCCTTTGAATCTTCTCACTGCTAAATCCAATCCTCAGTCAAGAGTCTTCAATGCTCTGGTTACCCTCCTCTGGACACTTTCCAGAATAAATGTCTAAACCATGGGGCCAAGAATTAAAATGCTCCAGCTGAGAAATGATGAGGGCAGAGTACACTGGGACTAGCACCTCCCTATTACTGTTATATTTCTCAATGCACCCCAAAATTATTTTTGACTGTTAACATTATACTACTGTCATATAGCTTGTAGTCCACTAAAAACCCTAGAACTTTGAACAACTACTGTCTAGCTAGGTCCCTATCTTGTACTTGTGAAATTTATTTCTTATACCCAAGTTCAAGATGTTATGTTACCTTGGCTCTATTGAATTTCATTTGATTAGATTCAGCTCAATGCTTAGCCTGTCAAGATACTTTTGGTTCCTGTTATTCCAATGCCTTATCTATTCCTTCTAACCTTCTCTCATTTGCACATTTCTCAAGTACTCAAGTCTTTGTCTTTATGAGTAATTAAGAATGTTAAAAAGCACAGGGCCAACCACAGATCCTGGAGTATGTCACTGGAGACCTACCATTCTTGACTTAACTGCCATTTTGGATCCAACCAGTTCCAATCTATTTCTCCACCTTCTCGAGGCTACTATTTAATAATTTGTTAAAATCTCCAAAGTAGGGGAATCTACCAATTTAGTAATCTAGTAAAAAAAAAGACTGGCGTGACCTTCTCTTAATCAAGCCACCACTTCCCTAAGAATTTTCCCCACAAAATTTCTCACTGTCCTAGTTAAGACTTAATCTATTTTCTTTCCCTCTTTTTGAAAACTGGGACATTCACCCCTCTCCAATCTTGTGTTAAGTTTCCCATTTTCTGTAATCTTTTCAAATATCTTATCTGCCAGTACTTTCAGGTTCCTAGGATACAATTCAACCGGGTCAGGTGACTTGAATTCATCAAGGGCATCTAAGTGCTCTCTAAAGATCTCCTTATCAGGAATAAAGATAAAAATGCAAGTTCTTAAGAGAAAGTTGGGGGAGGGGGTGTGTGCTCCATTGAAAGGTTAAATGACTCCCGAGGGTCACAGAACTAGTGTCAGAAACAGTACTTGAACTTTCTGAATCTTGCAAACCATGACTGTCATACACCTCCTTTTTGATGCTCCACACGCAAGCCAAACCATATTTAAGATTGGCCTAGAATAGTCACAGGAAGGAAAAAAACAATTAGCTAGTAATTATGCTTCCCCATATGCTTCCATTCTAAAGCCTAATTACATGTTAGATCCAGTCTTAGTTATCTTAAATAAAGGTTTTGGCTATTATAAAATGCTATCTTTAAACATTCTTATGAAATATATTATTTACTAATTGCCCCAGTAAAGCAGTAACTTTTAAATAATTAACTCTGGGAATGGAATCTGTTAATTGTCATGACAGCACTCATTTGTTAACATACTGTACTATAAAAATTTATAATTTTGATGATTTTAAGTTAAAGGGGACTACAATTCACCTTTTCCAACTCCCCTGTTTAATATGAGCGATCAAAACTGAGGACTGGAGTGCCTAGGTCACCTAACCCTTCAGAGACATTCTACTACATCAAGCTACCTGTCATAAGCAAAAAGGGGGTTCAATATAAAGGAAGACCACAAATATTTTAGGCACTTTTTATTTTTCAAAAAAAAAATTGTCATAATATATAAACAATTTCATTCTCTCAAAAAAAATTCTACAACTATACAGCTGTTTGCTCCATTATTTGCATAGGAAATACCACAATACAAAAATAAGGGGGGAAAAGAAGCAAAACAGCAACCAATTTATGCTTTGTATGTACGTTTCCATGTATAAACATATTAAGCCTCTTACAAAATTATTTACACCATATGTCAACTATTTACATTTCTTTTAAGAGCAACTTTTCTAACAAACAAAACTATAATTTATCAAGTGTATGTAAAATTGTCTTCTAAAAAAAAGTTACTATACTTCCACAAAATAAATAAAGACAAATATATTTTAAAACAAAATTAAATTTTCATTTTTCACTTGAGACCCTTTTTGGCATTTTGCTTATTTATTCTGCCCTTTGGTTAACAGCATTACATTACATTACTATTCTATATTGCATAAATGTAGCAGTTGCATCCTTAAATTTTCAACATGTCATTTAATATTTAAAGGCAGACACTGCGTCAATATTAACAACGGATTAACTAGACTGCACTGTAATTTAAGTAAAATTACTGTGTCTTTTATCTTACTGTACATTACTATAAAGTACATGCAACATCCACATAAAATAAAATTGGCATTGAACCAACAGTACTGCACAAGCTAACATTTTAGTATACAAAAACTGCATCATGAATCCTTCTTTAGTGATACTGTGGTTTAGTTTATTGTAAGAGGTTTACATCTTATATATTGTAACTCTCCTCATTAAGTCACTGACATTTATAATTTATGTAAAATGCTTTGCCCCTTTAAGCAACCCTATTTCAATCAGTGCATAAATTTTGCTTTTCATCATTGTCTGAATGATTAGAGTGGGTTTTTTCCCCCCAGGATTTTTTTTTTTTTACAATAAAGTGATGTTGATAGTGTTTGGAGAAGGAACTTGAAAACAAATTCCATGTGAATGTACTATTGTTATCTTCAAATCAGCAACTTTTGACTTTTCTACAAGAATCCTAACTTGTGATAATCCCTAGAGTTGATCTGCACATTTACAAAAATTTGTATAGCAAATATATGCAACACATCCTTTAAAAAAAAAAAAAATATATATATATATATCTCCACACATTTGTTCAATGGCTGCTTGTGAATTTCCACATACATTGCTTCTTCAAAGAATTCCAGAACATTTAAAAATAATTCAATGCCAAGTAAAATCTTGACACATTGTAATTTATAATTCCATTCCATGCCTGCCAACTCATTTGTGTTCTAAAGAGGGTCACAATAAATGATGGTGCTTATGTAAAAACAAGGCGAATGTTCGCCATCCCCTTCCAATGTAATCCCTTTCCCTCCCTTCTTCCCTTTAAAACAAAACAAAAAAAACCCAAACCTACATACTCAAGGTGTTGAGATGTGACTACTTGTTTTGAGATGAGACCTGCCAAATAAAGCCATATATATTACAGCAAGCAATATCAGGTTCTTAAAATGAATGAACACTTTGGTATTAATATAACATATTCCCTGGTATCTCTTAAATATACAAAATATACACTTCCAGTTTTCAATTTCTTTATGGTAAGTTCATAGTTAAAAATTTGCCAAATCTAACTGCATAACATCAATAATGAATTGCATAGACTCTGACAAGCCTCAAGAAACAGTTCATCTCAATTCTGGTGTCTTTTCATGTGCAGAGCTAGGTGATCAGAGCGGGAGAAGCTCCGGTTACACACTGCACATTGAAAAGGCTTGGCTCCAGTGTGTTTCCTGTAGTGACGTGTTAATTCATCAGAGCGAGCAAATCTCCAGTCACATCCTTCCCATGTGCACTTGTATGGCTTTTCACCTGCAACAATTCAGGAATAGTAGGTTAGATGGCACATTTAAAGAAAATAGGTATTACCTAAAACAGAACATGGAAAAGGAAAGTAACAGCAACCATTCATGACTCACCACTTCTGTTGGCATTTTTCACTTCCAATTGTTAATATTTTGAGGAAAAGGCAAAGATTCAAAGAAAAGGGATTTATATTGCAATGTTATTATGGGACTCATCCTTCTCATCCTACAGGTGAGAAAGAGGCTAAATGACTTTAGCCATGACTACAAGCTAGCAAGTGTGGAGACCAATACTGATAACTGATAATATCACCCACTCTCAGGTAATCAAGACATAATTTATATCATTCATTCCATTTGTTAAAATGGCTTGCCAAAGACTCAAGATCTATATAAAAATTTTACACAAACATTCTAAAAAGTCTAGTTCTAAAAGCTTTAGAAGATGAGGGGGGTGGGGAATGGAAAGGGAGAGAAGCAAAAGGAGAGCTCCTGATTTATTATTCATTATCTACTTATAATTCATTGTCTATTTCTTAGGCAATAATTTTTTTATATCTATATAAAACCTAAAAGTGATTTTGGTCAAAAGATCATAAATTTAGAGCTATAAGGGACCTTATAAGTCATCTAGTCCAGTCTAACTCTCTAAAGCCTAACCTAACTCTTTCCTCCTTTTAAAATATTTCAAAGAAATATTATTCTAAGTACAGATCTAAACAACTGTCAACAGATTTGAGCCCTCTCACTCACATATCTAAAGTATTGTTTTATTATTTTCCCACACTTTCATTTTGATGCTCTATTTCCAGTCCTGTAATTTTTATTCCACTTTTGGAAATGATTAATTTAATCTTGTCAAAAATGAGTTTATTGACTATCTGTTAAGAAGGGATTTTTAAAATTTGCTACATTTTTAAAGTTTGTAAATGATTGTAAACTTAGATTGAGAATGAAAAGATCCAGCAGAATACTTGGTGGTAGACTTATACATCAAAAAAATTAGCTTATGTACACATAGCACAGAAAAGGTCAATTGTCAAAAAGTAACCTACAAGATCCCTTCAAACAATCCACTGTCAGGCAGTTAAGGGTTTAAAATATTGGGACTGGAGGGAGTGGGGAGGAGGTAGAAAAGGGGAAAAGCTATGTTTTAAATACCTGTATTCTAGTACTTTATTAAAAATGAAGCTTAGCAAGGAAATTTTACCTACATGGATGCTAAATTTTAAAGACTTCACACCAACTGAGATATCTACAATTTATTGATATCTATACTAATAACTTTGTAGATAGCTTAACTAATAACTATGTCTGGCTTACATAAAATATAATTATCACGTAAAATGCTTTATACTGCCACTTAAGCTTCACCTTTACTTCTTAGTGGTTGAAGTCTTTGGTACAATGCACTCCCACCTTGCACCCTCCTTTTTCTTCTTGTGCACTGATAACCAAGGGGAGAGGGAATTACTAGGTTTTTTTTTTAATTATTCCATTTCAAACCCTGAACTCCTCTCTTCCCCCTTGCTCCAATAACATATTTTTTTAAACTTTACATGTATTTCAATTTTGGAGAGGAGGTGAAAAAAATGTACAATTGCAAAATTGCATACAATCAAGTTCTTTTGAGTTAAGACTTCCCCCTCATACTGACTTTAAAATGAATTCCAACTTAAATATACTTAATATCAATGACTGCTCACTTTTAAAGCAAATAGAGGACAAATGGAAAAGAGAATAAGCGTTTATATTGGAGCTACCACATGCCAGGTACTGTGCTAACAAACTTTTACTGATTTTATCTCACTGGATTCTCACAACCCTGGGAGGTTGGTGCTATGACTCCCATTTTACAGTTGAAGAAACTAAGGCAAAGTGGATGTGATTTATCTGTACAGAACCACAAAACAAACAATGTCTAAGGTTTGATTTGAACTTGTCTTCTTGAAGCAGGTCTAGCCCTCGATCCACTGCACTACCAGCTACATACTAGAGGAACGGGAGATCAGTATGTCTTCATCACTTCTTAATATTTTCAGCCTGTTTAACTTGTACATATTTAAAGAAGACATGCTTAATTCTGACTTGGAGATACAGCTACTGCTGTGGCTGAAAAAACACTTAGAAGTAAATCAAAATAAGGCTATCTTTTTTACAGGGAAGGAAAGTATTTTTTATTCCTCATGAAAAATATATGAATTCTGGAGCCAAGCACACTAGATATGTACTTTTCTGCTATTTATTAGAAAAAGGAATTTATCCCTAGTTTATGTGGTGAGAAAAAATTGCCTAAAATCACCTTATTTTAAAAGAAAGCATTCGAGCATTTTGCTGAATTTAATGAGCAAGAAAGACTGGGTTGTCAGGATTTACCTTAACAACAAGGGACAGTAGACCCTTTTGTCTGATATTTTTGTTGGCTATGCAGCAATAAGACTTCACTGATAGTCTGAAAAAGTTTACTGATTGTGTGAAATACAGTAGCCATTAAGTTTCTGAAATCTTGGTTCTATTCCAACACTTGTACGCCTATAGATTAATTCAAACAAGAATATTCCTGGTTTCCTAGACTTTAGTTATTAGAGTCTGATCATCGTATCAAGCAGATATTTTACTGTAAAAGCAAAACCCAGCTCCTCCTCCACTTCAGGGAAGCTTCCATGGGATTTGTTAAAGTGTCAACACGGCTCAAGTAAAACACCATGGAGGAAGCTGGTACCAACTTCTGGCCAAATAGTACACTCTAGTCCTTTCTTCCACAGCCAGAAATACTATACACAGTACTTCTGGGAAACTGAACTGCCTTCCTTTTAAGTTATATTTCAACAGGATTGAGGTTTCATAAGTTTAATTGGATTTTTGCACAAACCCCCTTCCCATGCCACCAATTTTAAAATATTTTGTTAGGCTCTTTCAACATAAAACATATTTTTTAAAAGTTCTTGCAGTTAATATAAAGCTTTCCAACAGCTAAGAAAAATTACAAGTTTTCACAACTTGGAAAACAAGTTCCCACTTTTTCAAATTTATGTATTACATAATTCTATTTTTTAAGGAATAGAAAAAACTAGCAATCCTAATCTTTGAAGAAAAATATTAACAAGTTAACTATGTATCTAAAATAACCTTCACAGTTAAGTTTTGAAATAGAGTAGTAAAAGTAAGGAGAAAAAAAATGCTTTAAAAAAGCAAATTAGGAGATGGACATTAAGAATAGGTGCCTCTAACTGTGCCTTAATATCACATTTAAATATTCCATTAGCAAAACTGAGAACAGCTGCCTTGAATGATTTTTAAAAACAAATAAGTACTATTCCAAACTATGCATTGATTATAAAGCCACTTGTGACATTTAGCTTAAAAGGAGTGGCTTAATGGAGGTAGCATTGGGGTTTTAAATACCTAGACTCTCTGGAACCGCAAGTGGGAATTCTGGCAGCAGGGAAGCTCATTTTAAGTTGGAAGGACTCTTAACTTAAAAGGAAGATTCATCTAGGCAATTCTGAGAAGTGTTATGTGTAGACAAAGCTATCTTAAAGTTTTCTAAAAAGTTAGTACTATAAGGTGAGAGAAAAATCAATGTCATACTTCCTTCTTTATTCTGCCAGACTATATTTGTAAATCTTTTAGGAGACATGATAACCTACATTAAAAAAATTGGCTGTTCATCTCAATGTATTTATTGCCAAATGCACAGAAAACCTAGTTAAGAAGGTAAGCATAAATGATGCAATTGGAAATTGTAGACTGAGAAAGACATACAGAATAAATGGACTGATTAGTCAGCTTCATAGCTAATGCTTTCATGAGAATGCTGTCAAGATTCTTCTAATAAAGAGATGTGGCAATATTTCTAAAGGAGAAATACTTTTCTGCATCATTTTAAAAGTAGTCATGACAGCCAATTTGTATCTATTTCTCTCTAAATTCTAAGTCAATCTAGTGACTACAAAGGCAAAAAGTGAACCTGAGTCCATGAAGACTATGCAAGTATCTCAAGCTCTAACGAATTCTATTAAACTGGATGCCCATTATTTAATCTGGAAGCCCATCACCTAAGCTTACATTATAGGAAGTTTCAACAAAATAATACTGGCCACAACTATTCATGAATGCTCTTTATTAAAACACAGAAGGAGTACAGAGCTGAGTCAATGGGCAGATAGAACATTAAAAAAAAAATTCAAGCAAACCATGCTGCTGTTTACTGTGTCTAATATGTGCCAACACTGTGCTGAGATATGGGGAATACAAAAGTAAAATGTTATGTATGTATGTTATGTTGGTTGGTTTGGTCTAATTGATGTCAAAATCCAACTTGGACAATTCCCAAATCTTAATTTTCATTTTTTTTTTTTGGTAGGGAGAAGATAAACAATTCAAACACTGACTTGTCAACCTCAGAGCTCCCTGGCATTCTAAAGGAAAATATAGTTCTCATGATTATTTTTATTATGAACTTACTGAATTTGTATCACGAGTATTTTATTACCCAAAATATAGGAGCTGTTAATGGACTGTGAGATAAAATAAGATCTTAGATTTAGAATTTGAAAGACCTCAGAGACCAATTAGTCCAAAGCCCCTAATCTTACAGTATCATCAGAATAGATTTTTTTTGGGGGGGGGAAGGATATCTTTATTTTCACTAACCCCTCATTGAAATTTAGAGTTTGATTCAATTGTTAAAAAAAAAACCAAACCTCATTTCTTGATCACAGGCTTCAAAGCCTTCAACCACACTGCCAAGGATTTGCCTTCAGTTTTTGTGATGATCATGTTCAGCCATGACCATACTAAGCTTTCAAAAATTTTTAGACTGAATTATTTATGTAAATAGAATCCCAAAAGGAAAAAAAAATTGGTTTGGTTTTTGTGACCAAAACTTATAAACTGAACCATATTTCTAAACAAAATTTGCTTAATGTAAGAAAAAGCTTCATTGTATGTATATAAGTGTGTATATGAGAGAGAGAGAAATGGACAAAAAAAATGGAAAACAGA